TAAAATAAGGCCTAGACATAATAAGTGCTTAATAAAGAATGGAGGAAAGAATAACTCTGGGAATAGGAAACTGTCCAATTTATGTTTAAACTGAGGTTATGCCTAATGAGCTCTTGGAATTCACAACTGCAAGTCAAACCTTCCTTTGTGCAGCAGATCATTTAGTGATTCAGTGCTACTTGGACTGAGGCACTTGTGCTGGACCCCACAGAGATGGAATGGAAAGAGAATGCAGAGACTCAAGCATTGAGAAATTGCCGTCCTGGTGATGAAATGATTCAGGGCCACTTGAAGCAATGTTAGAATACTTGCACAGTAACTTATAAATAAGTGCCAATTAAGGGGGTGTGTCTGAGAACCAGAGGAAAATAAAGAGCAGTTCATGGTTTCCATAGCAACTTGTACCTCCAAATGTTCAATACTTAGTTGTTTGTTTCTTCACTTGTTAAACTCAGGATTGCTTCCTGAAGGAGGTTAGCATGGAGCACAGGGCACCCAACCACCCTGGGGGACTCGCTGCCACTCCAGAGTCACAAAACCATGGACAGGACCTGTGACACAGGGCAGTCCAGCGTTTGCACATGGGACCACATGAGGCTGGGAACTGTGATAAGGATGATTGGCATATTCAGCATGCAAAAGGGTGACTAGGGACAAGTGAAGAGGAACAGCCAGCAGCATATGAGAATAACACATTTGGAGGAAGGAGGAGGCAAAACTGGGGCTTGGAGAAGACCCATGCTGGAGATCCTGGGGTGATAGCTGTGGTAATTTTTACTTTCCTAATAGATGCAGAGCATTTCAGCTTTGCTAATTAACAGAACAGCAGGCTTGTAATTCTGGCAGCAGCAGGACATGTATGGGGTGGGATTAGCGCTGAAAGCCAGTGAAGCATGCCTTTGTCCTTAAGAGCAAGCACAGCCTTCCTTGGGTCAGGTCCATAAGGGTGCCCTCTGATTTGAATTTTTTCCTATAGTAACTCCAGGGCCTTAAGACTTTCTGATTTCTTCTTTGGCTTTGTTTAGAGTTAGCAAGAGGTTCACATTTTAACAGGCGTTCTTTTTAGAGGGGAAAGCTAATCTAAGATTGGTCTACAATTTATCAAATGTACCTTGTATCAGAAATGGCAATGGCAATTCAAATCTGCCTCTTTCCAGGTGTGAATGCCTCACAGAAGTTCTTCCATCTCTGAACTCCCAGTTTGGTAATTAGTGCTATGTGCAGAATGGGGTGACACACCCTGAGCATCAAATCCCTGAATTAATTCCTGGGAAAGAATGGGCTGGGAGTCCAGGAAAGCATTGTTTTATCTTTCCAAAGTGCATTGAATCATCTTAGGGAATTTGTTTGTAATACTTTCTTTCAAACCACATTGATCTGATAATCGGAGGATCTTAAAAGCCAATAAGTATGAAGAAATGGTTTAGGAAATCTCAGAATACTGGAGCTGAGTGGTACTCCAGAGATTATCTACTAAGATCACCAGCACTTGCTGTGACAGATGAGGCCACTGACCTTATGCAAGTCACTTTAGAAAGGGTTAGCATTTCATTCATTTATTTATTCTTTCATCAAATACTTTTTTAAACATTTATTTTTTATTTATGCAATAGCTGGGGTAAAGGCCCGAGGCGCAGGAGGGTGAGAGAATTCACCAGAGAGTGGGGAGCAGAACAGGCAGACGGACCAAAAGCACTGCTGAGGGGAGCAACGGGCGTGACAGGAGAGGTCTGCTGTGCCATGTGGGAATCTCCCTGGCCGGCCGGGAATCGAACCCAAGCTGCAGAGGCTGCGGACAGCCAGACAGCTTCACAACGCTGTGTTCCATCCGCTTAGCTACCGGGGAGGCCCCCATCAAATATTTGTTGAACATTTACTATGAGCCCGCTGAGACATGTACCTGATAGTGAAAACATGTTGCTATTTCATTGGTCCTGTTTGAGTTAGCCTTCAATGAACTTCCCCTTTATTATGGATTCTGACAACTGGTTTCATGAGGGCCTGGGGGAATTTATACTTAGGCTCTTCAGCCAGTGCAAATAGGTTTTCTATGCAAGGTCACCAATTTCTGAGTTGCTGGGCTAATTAGTTTAGCTCTATTTGGCTTCACATAATACATATGTTGTTGAAAAGCTATTTGTAATTCAATTTTTGGCAAATGAAAAACTAATTCAAACCATGAAGGCAGCTTTTATTTAAAGAGACCCTGGAGCAAATCCTTTTGTAATGTGAAAAATCTTTGTTGTTGGAAATGATTATCCCCTAGTTAAGGGTTTTTTAAGTCTGGACACTTTAGGTTTTCTTATGATGGGCACACAACCTGGCAGAGAACTGAACAGAAGTCTGAACCAGTTGGGGAAGATTTTGGCTGGGGGAGAGGAAGTCCTAAAGAACCTTAGACCAAGCAACCTAAGTTATTGACGTTTGCTTGAGCCCATGGCTGCAAGCTACAGGGACAAGCTGCTCACTGCTCCCCTTCTCTCAGTTCCTGGAGTCTGGAGGGAAGAAGGAAGAGGTGAGACATGATGAGTGTGATGTGAAAGATGAGACGTGAATTCTCTCCCTTTCCCCATAGGTGGAAGAGAGGTGAAGGTACGATGAGGAATCTTTTGCTTTCATTATAGCAAATTCCAAACTCTTCTTTAATATATGGGAATGGTATGGAATTAAGAGTCTTCTTGTACATTTTTACAGGGTAGGGAAGGAGAGGAAGAACAGTAGAAAAAATAGAACAGGAGTTTAGGAGAGAAGAGGGTGATATGGATTCTTGTTATACAGTAAAATCTTAGTAGTTTGAGCCTTGCTAAAAACTTGTAAATAGTTTGGAGGAAGACAGGGCTAAAGTTTAACTTTTCTTATTAAAATTTCTTTCTGTAGAAATTAATAGTGTATATAGTGATATGGAAGAGAATGTTTTAAAAATGATGAATATGAAGACATTTCACATTCAAAAATAAGCTAATTTTGTCGCAGAAGCTTCGTCTTATACACACAATTCATGTATTTCTTGAAGATGATCCTTTTCTAGTTGCTAAAGCCTGACAGCACTCTTCTTGTCAAGGAAGCCAGAACATCTCCTTAATGCATGAGAGTTGAAAAAAGATCTATTTGTAGATTCTGTAATTATCTGTTGATTCTAATCAACAAGTGAGATTTAACAGTTTTGCTGTGTTGGGAGATAAGGTCAGAGCATGAAGATCTGTATGAGCTAAGGATAAAAGTAAGTTTTCCTTTTTAGGGTGTCATTTTTTTTTTCACTTCTGTTGGTCTTCTCAAGAGAGTGTTGCAGCTGGTCACTCTAGCATCAAGTACTATGGACCAGCTTATAATAAGAAGCAACTGATGAATAAAAACTCTATCTTCATTTAGTGAAAAATGAAAAAGAGTAAGTGAAATGTTCCGAGAAAATTTGGAAATTTGCCTGGCCATGGAGTGTTGAGTGTGTAACACGCTCATTTCCCTTCTGCAAGCCAGTGATCTTATTATTCTTGATTGTTGCCAGAACTCCCAGGTGGGTCTCTTGATGCAGTCAGTGTTTAGGGAGTGAGGCAACCCTGAGTGAACCCATCCTTCTCAGCGTGTTTCTCCCTCTGCAGATTGTCACATTTGGACCACAAGGAAGTAAGGCAAGTGGAGAAAAGCACTAAGAGGGGGTGTTGTGGTCTCCCGCTCTGTCTCACTGAGCTGACACAGAACTCTCTTCCGGGCTCCATCTGTGCCCTGTCCCCAGTGGTGAGACACAGCAGAGATTCCACTTGCAGCTCCAGGGATCTGAGAGTGGGCTGGTTCTCCCTGAGAATCCTTGTGAGGATTAAATGATAGGGCACAGTGGGCTGGCCTGGGATTTTGTGTGCATAGAGAAGCTGGATCCTCCCTTCCCATGCAGTTCATGCTGGGCTGGGTTGTCTTTTGCCTCCAGAAGCCACTGTTCCCCCAGGCACATCATTGTTTTTCATTCTTTGTGAGTCCAGGCCTCTGCCTCCAGTCCCCTAACAGGAACTCAGCCAGATCAAAGAAATAAATTTCCAAAGTGAGACCTAGGCAGAGAATGAGTTGCTGAAGAAGGGAGGGCATTTCCTTCCCAGGCGCTTAGTCTTTCCCCACCCCCTGTGCATTGCAGTCTTATGATGGTGACATTGAGGGGGAAGAAGAAGGATGGAGAATGGTATTGCATTCAACTTTGCTTCCAACTTAAGGCTTTTGTAGTGTACTTATCCCAGTTGTAAAATAAAGACTAACAGATTACAGAAAACACAAAAAGAATTATTTAGGGCACTGTAGTCTATCTTGATATTAATTAACCTTCAACAGGTATTTAATGTGTGCCAGACACAGTAAAACAGGGATTAAGATGCAACCTGTGAAGCAGTCCGCAACCACTGCAGCATGAGTTTGATACCCCGGCCAGGGAGATACCCACATGGTGCAGCAGACCTCTCCTGTCTTGCCTGCTGCTCACCGCAGCAGTGTGTTTCAGTCAATCTGCCTGTTCTGTTCCCCACTCTGTCTCTGGTGAATCCCCTCACCCCCACACACACCTCTAGCCTGTACCCCAGTTCTTGTATGCATAAATAGATAAATCTTCAAAAAAATGAACAAAGATATAATATATATATATGTATACACATACACACACACATATACACAAGTATATATGTGCGTAATATTTCTTGAAGAAAATGAAAAAAGAAAAGGTCCAGTCTTCAAGTTTATAGTAATAGAGCTGTGGTAGTTGTGGTACCCAGGGCATGACTTTGTGTACATGGTGGAGGGTGGCTCAGACTGTTCCTTCCTTGAGACGCACCTGGTCCCTCACCCTTGGTCATCCCTGCGGCCTGGTATCATGTGTTGGTATCCCTTCTGTTTTGGACCCTGGCCCAGTGGGCTGGACTGTAGAGCCTGAATAGGACCTATTGTGGGTTGGGAGGCTGAGGGTGGGACCCAGGAATTCAGCCACCTGACCTCTCTCATCCTGATTCTTTCTGTTTTATTGTCCACAGGATCTTTTCGGAATGATGGTTTGAAAGCTTCTGATGTCCTTCCCATCCTAAAGGAAAAAGTGGCTTTCGTGTCTGGTGAGTGTCTGTGGAACTTTCTTCTATAGACCTAGAGAAGTTGTGTGTGTGGTTGTGTGTGTGGTTGTGTGTGTGTGCATGCACATATGTGTAGGCATTCACTTCCTCATGTTAGAGAGAAGCAGGACATGGAAGCAATGTTCCGAGCAACTGCTGCCTCTCTGCAGAGGCAGACAGAAAGAGAAGGCAGGGCTCGGTCCTCACTGGGTGTCCTGGAGGGCATTCACAAACACAGGGAGGTGACACCAGCCTTCACACATCTTGACCAGCTTCACCCTCCTGGGCCTGTCAGGCTCAGCAAGAGCTGCTGCTGTGAGGCCCTTAGGAGAGATGCTTCAGCTGGAAAACTGTCCACTTCACACATTCCCAGAGGTTTTGTTTGGGTTCTCCTCTGAGTGGGACATGGATTAAAAACATTTCCAGTTCCTTCTTATCTCTCCTTCCTAGTAAAAGGTATTCAAGTGTTTGCATTTATTTATATATTTCTGAATGACATCTAAACATTTATTTCTGACCTTTCTCTCCAACTCACCTTATGCACCTGTACCTTTTCATGTCTAATCCAGGGGTCAGCAAACTGCACCTGTGGGCCAGCTATCTGGTTTTATGTAGAAAATCTTGTTGGAACATAGCCATGTACTCTTCTTTAGGTAGTGTGTTATTTTCTTATTGCTGCTGTAATAAGTTACTACAAATTTGGTGACAATAGAAATGTATTCTCTGGGCCTCCCCGGTGGCGCAGCGGTTGAGCGCTGGGTTGCGAAGCTGCCCGCGGCCTCTGTGGCGCCGGTTCGATCCCCGGCTGCTCCCCGGCCACCAGAGGAGGGTCCCACATGGCGCGCAGACCTCTCCTGCCGCCTGCTGCTCCCCTCAGCAGTGTACTTCGGTCCTTCTGCCTGCTCTGCTCCCCGCTCTGGCTCTGGTGAATTCTCTCACCCTCCCGCGCTTCTGACTGTACCCAGTGCATGTATAAACAAACAAACAAACAAACAAACAAATAAATAAAAACATGCCTCTATTAAAAAAAAATTCTTTAAAAAAAAAAAAAAGAAATGTATTCTCTCACAGTTATGAAGGCCAGAAGTCCAAAGTTAGTTCAGCAGCTGAAGTCCAGGTGTCAGGAAGGCTATGCTATGCTTCCAGAGGCTCTACTGGGGAACTTGTCTCTTGCTTCCTCTGGCTTTTGGTGACTGCTTTTGCTTGTGTCATTGTCTGGCTTGTGACTACATCACTCCCACATCTGCCTCTGGGGTAACAATGCTTCTTCTTGTTTGTCTGTATCAAATCTCTTTCTACCTCATGGTAAGGATACCTCGGACTGCATTTAAGGCTCATTTATAACACAGGATAATCTCCCCATTTTAAGACCCTGACTTAGTCACATTTGCAAAGACTGTTTTTCCAAATGAAGAAGCATTTACAGGTTCTGGAGATGAGGACCATTGGGGACCATTAGTTAGCTTACGCTAATTACTGTCAATGATTTCTTCCTCACCATATCTGCAGAACTGTATAGTTCCAAGAAAGACCAGAGACCAGAAGTCTAAGATACTCACAAGCTTAGTTTTAAGGAAAAGACTGGTTGTAGGCACCAGTGACTGAGGTTGTAAGAGCCAGTGACTGGCCAAGGGCTGCTGCCATTCTCCAACCATGAGGTGTACCAGCTTTATTCCAGGTGCCAGCTCCATGCCTCCACTCTGGGTCTCCTGATCATCGTCTCTGGCAGGGGATGAAGCAATAATGTATGACTAGCCAAGAATCACCTTTTAAGTACATGCTATTTGGATGGAGCTTTTGTTCCTGGATGATCTGGTTATCCATAATAATGACTGTAGAATCACAGGGAAAAAGCCAGAATGGGCCAACAGTGCCAAGGTTCTCTGCACAGGCCCTACTGGTCTGGCTGATGGGTGACAGTCAAGATGGAGAGAAAAAAGAGAGGGAGGGGATATGGGGAAGAGGAAATCTCCCACCGAACAAGAGGGAAGAGGAGAGTCTGGGTGGGGGTGGTGGGAGGCAGGACTATGTGCAGTGTGAGTATGTAATCCTTTGTATGGAATCAAGTGCATTCCTTATTATTATTAGTGGTAGAGTAATAATAATGCCAGTATTTGATTAGTGTTGTTGCTGTCCAACAAGAGGGACCAGGAACCTGCCTTTCCATTCATGTTAGGTGCTTGTATATCCTACTAGACAGTGAGGTCAGGTCACCGAAGGCTGATCCCTTTGCAGGGCCACTTGGCAGCAATTTCAGTATGGGTAGAGGTGAAGGTAAGACAACTTCCAAACTTGGATCTGAGTGCTTGCTGAGCATGTGGAAGGACCTTGTGGCTAACACCTGGGTAACACCAGGTCTCTGACTTCTGCTGCCCATAGCACCCTCAGGCCTCTATTATTTACTCCCAAGTGGAACCTAGTCAGAACTTACCCTTCTTCTTCAATGGCTCTGAGCCTTAGTTAAACTGATATTCTTCCTGTCCCCTATGTGTCTTGCTAGTCCCCTCTTTTCTCTCTAGCCTGAACTTCCTCTTCCTGCAGTGCTTTCCCCACACCTTCTGCTACTTTAAGCATCTCTTCTCCTCTCCAAGTCCCAGTTTGCATCCTCCAGGAGCTTTCCTAGCTTTAATGCTTGGCCTGTGAGCACCATCCCATTCTGCATCAGTTCAGGGTACCTGAGTGCAGACACAGTACACTCTGACATGGGGGAGACTTGCTTGATTGTTCATGGCTTTTTTCCATGTGAATTCTGTTAGAGCCCTGGGCAGAACCGAGTCAACCCTAGAAAAGAGCTTCCTGGCTTAGGAAAGTGTCCTGATGGAGCACATAAAATTGGAGTGCCAAGAAGGCAGTTTGTCAGGCATGAGGCAGATAGAAGTGCCCCAGAACAGGATCAAAGGGGCTGGGTGAGTGCCGCTCCTCCCCACATGCCAACTTAGCACCTGGGCTAAGTCTTTTTCATCTGTGCAGGGTGCCAGGAGTTTTGAGCTCAGGGAACATTTCCCTACCATGCCTGGGAAGGACGCTGAGGCCACCAGGGAGATGACTAGCTGCATCTAAAAACAAAAACAAACCAAAAAAGCCCCTTACATCATGAACTTTTAAAAGACAAAAAACAAGAATAAAGCAAAATAAAGAAACCCACAATTAAAAATGCAGTGGAGCTATTGCATTTCCTTCTGAGGAGAAAGCACTGCAGGAAGGTGGTAAGCAGGGAAGCAAACTGTTGGTTGTGCCCACTCTCCCCTGCCAGTGCCCCCAGCATGACCAGGGTAAAGGAAAGCCGTGCTGCCATGGGAACATATATTTGGAATAATCCACTTCGATCTCACAGCTTCTGTGCGTGGGCGTGAGCGTGTGTGTGTGTGCGCGTGCATGTGTTCATGTGTGTATGTGTGCATGTGTACATGTGTGTATGTGTGCATGTGTGTGCGTGCATGTGTGTGTGTGTATGTCACAGAATCTGCAACTATTCCTCAGGGAACCCTACATTCCAGACCTACCCCATCCTGCTCCATTATTCACAACTTAGGGCTCCACCTAGGCCCTCTCTCTAGTGTTCCTTCCACTAACAGTGCCCATTGTCCCTTTTAGTCACCTTCTTGTGCAGGACCCATCTCGCCCTTATTGTCTTCGCATGCACTCAGACCCATTTTTTGGCCACATCCAAATGATCCCTGTTTGTCTCCTTACCTCTCACTGACATGGTTCCCCATTGTTCCAGGGAAACCCCATGATGCTGTGGCACAGTCTTTGTGCCCCAGACCTGTGTCCCTCAAAGTGTGTTCCATAGATGATCCCCTTATTGCCCAAGAGAAAAATGACTTCTACTCTTAAATACATTTGGGAAATACTGTATATTATAGCTCCTTTTTAGAGATGTAATTTTCATTAAGATATATGTCCATTAAGCATAAAAAAGCAACTCCAAACTATGAATAACTTCATTCCCTTAAGAAAATTGTGTGCACACAGTAACCTCTTGCAGAACCCAACTTTTGGTATGATCCCCTCTATTTTTTTCCAAACCTGCCTCCTACTCCCTGCATCTTTTGAAATTACTTTAATTGTACCTGACTCCCCTGTCAGCACTGTTCTTTTACCAGGTCAATTGAGAAGCCTTAACTCTCCCTACTCCTGGCCTTGCTTCCTCCCCAGCTCTGTCCTGTCTTTCCTCAAAGGAAGGTGACCATTGCCATTTATATGATCTCCCTTTATTCATTCTCTATAGTCCTATCCTGTAGCTCCTGACACCAAAGCATTGCATAACTAGGCAAGCAGTAGGTATTTGATGAGCACAGGAATGGTGCTTTTGAAGATCCTGTCACCATCTCTATTACTTTTTCAAAATGTGACTACTCTTATTTCCCAGTCTCTGAAATCTGCTTCCATAATGCACATTGCCTTTAGCATTCTTTGTCTGTGGCCTTAGCCCCTTTCCTTTGACACTTCTGATATTCCCCTATCAGTTGAGAGACTATGGCTATCAGAAAAACAAAATATGCTATTCCTTCTTCTTGGCAGCTCATAAACCCCTCCCCGTAACCCATGCATTGACTCTGTTTTGCCTTCACTCAGGTTAGAGCCTAGACACTAGAACCAGACCTATCAACAGAGTTCTCATTATGCCCGTACCCTGCACCTACCCATACCACCCGCTCCTCCTGTTCATTCTCTAGGGAAGCTCTCCAACAGGGGTCCACTCCATTCTCTCCCAGCATCTCAAGCCTACCCTGACCTTTGGCAGGTGATCTCATCACCTGTTTTACTTAAAGAATAATTTTCCACAGGCATTTTGGACTTCTTATAATTTTATCTCTTTCCTCTTCCCTCTTTGAGTTCTGTCAGCTTGTCTCTGAAGGGACAGGGGCAAGACCCCTCTCCTTACATTTACTCTGTGGCCCTGTTCCATATCTTTTCAGCAAAATGTTCCTCTTCTTCTATGTATGTTTTTCCTACACTCTTGCAAGGGTTATTTACCTTCTGAAAAAAGCCTAGTTTGACCATGCAGCCTTTGTAGGGTCAGGAATGGACCAGTGCAGGTTTTCTGATCCCATGCAGACCGGGTAAAGGAGGAGTCAGAGCCCTCAGGGGTTTTGCAGGTCTTTTATTGGGGTTCACCAGGCATATGGCAGGCAGGGGTGCTGGGGGGCCGGGAGGCTGGCAGGCCTTCACTCTGGGCTCTCCGGCCTTCTCTCAGCTTCTGCTTCTCTTGCGGCTTCTCCTCGGCTTCTGCTGGCGTCCCCGTGATGCCGCCATTAAAAGCACAGTCTTAGCCCAGGTGAATCCCATCTACCTGTGCCCACACCCTATTCCAGGTGCCCGCCATCAGGCATGCATTCAGGACCGCAAGGATCCATCATCTATCCTGATGGCGGGAGGGCAGAAAAGCCTGACATTTTTCCTTACCCTACAGTCTTCTTGTCAACTCCTTATCCATACTTCCTGCCGGGAGAGCTCTGAATTTCCCCAGATGTTCTTCTCTCACTCCCCATCTTTGGAGCCCTCCCCAGCTGTCACTGTGAAACTCCAGTCTTCAAAGGCACAACTGGCTCTTGCCAGGGAGGTATAGTGCCAACAGCCCTCTAAATCTTGTTGTTAGCCTTTGCCAATCGGACAGCTTCGTTCCATGGCTGTGCTCTTAAAGTTTTCCAATGATGGTCAGGAGGAAAAGTAACAGCTGCTGTTAAAAACACCCAACAGTGAAAATTCTTAGGTGAGGTCAAGACTGAAGGGAGAGGTTGGGAGTGTGGGAGCACCTCCCAGGTCTTGGGAAATCTTCCATTTAATTCTTCTGCGTCCTTTTCTTCATATAGAAGGCAGCTGGGAAGGTACCGTTTCCAAGGCAGATGAGATGGAGGCGGTTATCAGTACTGTGGCCTGGAAGTCTGGAGCTGGAGGTGTGGAGCCCAGCTCTGTGGTATATGTGCACCAGTCTGCCCTGGGGTAGTGCAGGGGGTGTGCCAAAACACTTTCATCAGGGCCAAATCCCTCAGTGGCTTTAGTCTTGTTGGATCCTTTTCTTCTTGCAACCTCCTTGTTTACTTCTTAGTAGGATCCTAGAATTGAATGAATTTTGTTTGTCAAACCTCTCTTCTGTCTGTGTGGCTTATGGACTCCACAATCAGAGGGAAACATTCATGAATTCACACTTGGGAGGGACCCTGGGGGGCTCCTTGAAAGAGGTCCTTTTTTTTTTTTTTTTTTTTTTGAGGACTTACCTTTAAGCATCTCTGATGTGGGGCTGGCCCGGTCAACACCTCCTCCTTCTTGCCCTGTGAGCCCTCTCTGAGGGGTGTCAGGCAGCTGCCAGGGATGTGGGGGTATGATCATATGTAATAGGCAGTGACTATAAGGATTTAGTTACTACACCTTACCTTTGTGCCTTTCTGATCCTCCTGAGAATACTTGGCTGTGCTTCTTAATCATAACATCCATTAATGATGAAAATTTCAATCATAGAATAAATAGTGAATAGAAAGTTTGTAAAATAGAAAAAAGAAAAAGAAACCATGCACAAGCCCAGCCCTCTAATAACAACAATGATCATCTAGTTGTTGTGCTTCTTCCAGCTTTTTTTTACATGATATTTAGAAAACATTTATAATCATCATGTGTACATATGCATTTGCAGTGATTAAGATCTTGAGCATCCTCATTTCCAATAAAGATTCATGTGCTCCTCCAGCAGGAGAGACAGGTGGCACCTCAGGCAGGCAGGTTGTGGATGCTTTGCCTGTGTAGAAAACAGTTAATATTTTTTCTCTGAATCTTAAAATCTCCCAGCAGTGCTATCGCAGATGGATGGGTGTGTTAAGGACTTCTCACCAGAGTAATCAGTTAATCCTGAGGATTCCCACTTCACAGAGGTCTGCAGAGAGAAGTGAACTGGAGGTTAAATTTCCAAAGACCATAGCATTTTCAATGACTTGTTTTCTCAATAAGAACTGTTAACCCCACTTTTATCATCACCTCATATTTGAAGAAAGCTTTACTTTACAAAGAGCTTCCCCACGTGCCATCTTATTAGTCCTCGTGGCAGCCCTGTAATGTGGTCATCATTATTTTCATCTGCATTTTGTAGACGAGACATCAGGGAAGTCAATATCTCACCCAAGGTCATACATGCTACCTACATACAAACTCCATGCCCTTGTCCTAAGCAGTGACCACTGGACTTCTCTGGGCACCTTATTTCTGCCTGTTTTATTCAGCATTCAGATAGAATTTTTTTTCCCCCTGTGGCACCCTTTCTGGCTGGTTTTCTTCAACGCACTCTTTTTCTTCTCTGCAGGGGGTCGTGATAAGCGGGGTGGACCCATCCTGACCTTCCCTGCTCGAAGCAATCATGACAGAATAAGACAGGAAGACCTTCGGAAACTTGTGACCTATTTGGCCAGTGTGCCAAGGTAAGGGGAGAGGGCAGTCCTGTAAAGGAAGAGGGAGGGGAGCTGGACAGATGCAAGTGAGTTAGAATGAGCCTCCATCCCTGGCAGGCAACCCTAGTTGTTTTTGTCCTCAGAATGGATTCTAATTATTCCTGGAACATCATCACCCACTGTTTGCCTCATTCCCATACTTCCCATTGTCACTACTGGGATTCACGTGCATGAGTGGGAGCTATGGGAAGGTGAGGGTCTCAGCCTAAGAGGACCAGGACAGAGACTGGAACAGGGAACAGTGTGGCCTTCCTACCTTGGCTGACCCCACTCTGGCTTGTGTAATGGATTATCATTAAATACTCTAGTTTGTGACTTTTGGAGTTTGGGGCAAATAACTCTACTTGTATCATTCAGCTGAGTCCTCTGCTAGGCATTTTCAATGGGGGTAATAATGCCCCCATGAGGAGATGAAAATTATTTCTTGGGGGTAGCAAAAAAAATTACTCTTTTATGTATTAAGCATAGATAGACATATGGCATAACACATACAGTTTATTTGTGATATTAAAATTTCACTGGGTAGGTGATTAAGGAAAAAAACTTATAAAATGTCTCTTTTGGCAGAGGACAATGATAATTTTTATTTTTTTCCTTTGCATTTGGATATCTTTTTTAAATTATTTTAATTTATTTTTTATTTTATACATTTTTTACATCATTTTTCATTTTTGCACAATGTATGCATTTTCATCTTGGTTAGAGTCCCCATACAATTCCCATCCCCCTTGTTTTGATCCTCCTCCCTCCTCACACCCCCCCCACCCTGTAATGTGTATCAGGTTTATAGTTGCTTGTTGATTTTTATTTTTACTTTATTATAATTAGGTTTTTTCCTGGCCCCTTATTTAGGTTTTCTAAATTCCTGCTATGAGTGAGACCATCGGTATTTTTCTTTTTCTTTCTGGCTTATTTCGCTGAGCATGATCCCTTCCAGCTCCATCCATGTTCCTGCAAATTGCATGAGTTTATCTTTTTTGATTGCTGAGCAATATTCCATGGTGTATATGCCCCACATCTTCTTGATCCAGTCATCTATTTTTGGGCATTTGGGTTGTTTCCAGGTTTTACCTATTGTAATTAGTGCTGCTATAAACATAGGGGTGCAGGCGCCCTTTTAAATTAATGTTTTTGTGTCCTTTGGGTAAATACCTAGGAGTGGAATTGCTGGATCATATGGAAGCTCCATCTTTAGCAGGTTGAGGAATCTCCACATAGCTTTCCATAGTGGTTGGATCAGTTTGCACTCCCAACAGCAGTGCAGGAGAGTTCCTTTTTCTCCACATCCTTGCCAACACTTATAGTTGCTAGTTTTTTTAATATGTGCCATTCTTACTGGTGTAAGATGGTATCTCAGACAATAATTTTTAAAAAGATTTTCTGATTATCTTTGGATGGTGCTAGCCATGGAGGTAGGTGGAAGGAGACATGTCAAGGATGTGGTCTATATATCGGTTAAGGAGGGAGAGAAGAGGCCTTCATCTAGTCAGAGAATCATAGAATGTGAGATCCAGAAATGTTCTGAGAAGTAAGCGAGGTATATATGTGTCATATTCTACTTAGAAAACAGGGTCCAAATGTGCTAGTGCAAAGCATACCGAGAACTCTACCTTCTTGACTTGTGTCCCAGTGCTTCCCCCAGTATCCCTCACCATTGCTGAGGATCTGTTCTCTGTCTCCCAGTGGGGCCACAGGTGCTCAGCTGTTTGTTGTGTCAAATAAGAAGTGATGTCCAGAACCATTGTCTGGTCTTCATGCATTTTATAGGAAAAAGTGAATTATAGAGAGGAACTATATATTTAGCCTTTGCTGGGAGAGCTTAGATAATTGTTCAATGTGCTGATTAAGTTCTCAAAGCAGGTCTCAAGTAAGGCAAGCACTACATTTTAAAGAACTATATAGGCAAGACAAAGTAAAGGGAATTGGTGAATGGTGATGGACAGGTGGTAAAGGGGATTTAAGAGCTGTCATTAAATGCTTGGAAGGATGTTGAATAGAATGGGTAGCCCTGAAAAGCTTCAAGCAGAAGACTGTGAATAGATAAATAAATGTTGAATGGTGTCTGTTTTTTTTCTTTATGATATCCACGGGGGACCAGAAAAAACATAAAAGGTCTTAAACAACAATGAAGGGGACTTGACTTATCACCAAAGAAGAACTTCTTAACTTCAAGTGCAAAAGTGCAAGAAGTTTTTTTTTTTTTTTTAAAGATTTATTTATTTATTTTCAGATTTATGTATTTATTTATACATGCACTGGGTACAGTCAGAGGCGCGGGAGGGTGAGAGAATTCACCAGAGCCAGAGCAGGGAGCAGAACAGGCAGAAGGACCGAAGTACACTGCTGAGGGGAGCAGCGGGCGGCAGGAGAGGTCTGCGCGCCATGTGGGACCCTCCTCTGGTGGCCGGGGAGCAGCCGGGGATCGAACTGGCGCTGCAGAGGCTGCGGGCAGCTTCACAACCCAGCGCTCAACCGCTGCGCCACCGGGGAGGCCCATGCAAGAAGTTTTTTACTGAAGAACAGAACACAGATTTTTTTTTTAACTAGAGGTCTTTATAGGGAGGAAATATTCCCATTTGTTTCAGAGACAAAGTGATAGACTAAATAACCCATGATTAATCTAGGTAATTTAGCAATTTAGCCATGTAGGGGCTAAACAGTTTGAAATATACCATACCTTGGTATCATACTAACAAGAATATTTCATGGGAGCCCATGATGGACTCTCAGTTCTTTAGAGCCACAGAAATTGGGATCCCAGGAGAAAGGAAGGGTATATTTTTTCCGTCAGGTATATTTATCATATCCCTGCTGCTAATGCATGCTCATCTTTTCTTTAGAATAGAAAGTGGGAGTTGGAAGAACACTTCTTCATCCTGGCTTTTTAAGTCGAGATGGAACAAAACAGATTGGAAACAACTAAAAAGGAAATGATTCCTGCTGGGTGAAGGGGAACAGAACCTAAGAGAGGCTGTGAGGAAGGTCTTGAAAAAGCAAAAACAGTACGTTATCATTGAAGGAACACACTCAATGCAAGTTCTCTGCTTCTCCGCGGGTGGTCACAAGCTTTGCACCCTGTGCACTTGAAAACAGAAAGGTTCTTCACAGGTTCTGGCAGGTGGGAGGCAAGGCACCTGTTGCCACCTTTGGTGGGAACAATTGCCCTGGCATGCCTGCTGCCTTCCTCCCGAGGGTTCTGTGTTCACCAGGAATGACTATCCAGAAGACTCGAGTTTACTAAGTAGTCATACCCATCTGTCACTTCCTAGCTCTGTTGGCCACATATTCACACACAGCAACTATTGGAAATGAAATCTGGGACAGGATTGCTCTAAAGATGATGAAGTATGGGAAGGAAACTGAAGAACAGAGTGGGTCAAATAGTGTTTGACAGTCTTATGCTTAGCCATGACCTGGGCAAAGAAGGTAAACAATGAAAATGAATAGCTGGAATCAATGATATGATTAGCAGAAATTATTTATTATGGGAATGGCCTGGGGGTAGGGGCAGAAAGAGAAAAGGATCTGCTCTACAGACTGGTATGATCACCTTTAGGCGATATGTGACCTGCATTTATTCATTCTTTACTTAGCAGATATTTAGAGCCTCTCCATGCTAGGTAGCTTGAAAAACAATGGTGAACAGACACAGATGTTTTGAGAAAGTTAGCAAAAACCTGGATATGTCCCTACCCAGTGTCAAACCAGTGACAATAAGAGCAGGTAGTATGTGACTAATAGCATTGATGACCTGGCCAGTGGAAGACAAGCAAACAGGGGCCAATGAGTGATGAAAGAGGACCTCAGAATCTAAGAACCTGTTCTACAATAAATGATTAAAGCAGATGATTATGTGATATTTAGAAATGAATGGGAAGGGACAGTCCTGCTATCCTTTGTGAAGGCAGGGTCGTCTAGACTGTGGCGTCAGCTACATTTTAGGAACTGTTAGAGCACTGTCAGTGGAACAGCAAATTGAGAGATCCACATGCTGCATCTCTACATTTGAAGGAATGAAGGATGTCTGCTTGCAGGAGTAAAAATGGAAGAAAAGTGATTTCCTGTCTTCAGGTGTCAGGAAAGCTGCCCCAACAGGAGGGAACAAGCATGGTCTCCATTACATCAATGGGTAGAAATGAGAGAGATCAGGAGTCTGACCCAAGAAAGATCTTGTCTATATGGAAACTGTCCAGCAGTAATACTGCTGCCCCTGGCAAAAGTGATCTTCCTGTCTCTATAGTTTGAATGACCTGCTGTTAGGGATTCTGTAGGAAGAATTCCTCCAGTGGGCTAGAAGATGGTTAGATAATTTCTAAGAAGCTTTCCTGTCCAGAATCTTGTGTTTCTATATAGCTGGAAAAAAAAAACATACATCATAAAATCTGGTACCTCAAAACAGAATACTGCCACCTTCAACATATATTTCCTTTCTCAGACTCCTAGATAAGTCTAGAATTTCACTTCACACATGTGATATCAGAAGAGAACTGCTTTCTAGTACCTTTGGGTCCTGAGTGGGAATTTGGGGAACATGGATCAGGGATCATCCTGGACTCGACAGTTTGGAATATCTGTTACTCTTTTGGGGTTTGCTTCAGCCTGAGATGAATCAGTCCCTTCCAGCTTTCCTTTTTGCTCCTTGTGAGTTTAAGAATCTTATCTCCGGAGTCCTCTCTAAACTTTCTGTGTTATTCTGAGGATCCGTAGAATATCTGGGCAGTAAGAGTCTTTAAAATTCTTCTATTTCATTTTTCTCACCCCATTCACTCAATTTAATTAATATTTGTTGAGTGCCTACTATGAGCCAGAGCCTGAATAGGGATCTGGGTGAGATTCTGTCATCATTCTCTTTTCTGACTGTCATCCATTCTACACTTATCTAGTTTTCTTTCTGTCCTGACCTGCTATCTTCTTGTTTTTACTTGTATGTGAAAGGGGTGGAAAGGAGATATTAGATACAATCAGCTGAT